CAAGGTATGAATCAACGAGATCTATATGCTAACAGCTCCAATGCCAGCAAAGTGTGAGTTTGCTTTACCTCCGAGATGTTTGCACAAGCTACTAAGAGTAGAGGAGAAGTGATGTATTTCAGAGCATGAAAGTATTTTAAGTATCATAGCTCACAGGATGGAGCATGTGGCTCTGGATGGGTGAAAAAAGCAGAGCTGATCTACAACTGTGTAAGCAGAGGTTTGAAAACCTTGAAAATTAAGCAACACAGGCATTTGTCAATGATGAGTCACTGGACTAGGGCAGGGAAATAATAGAGGGCTAAAAATCTGTTGTAATCTATCAGACTTTTAATAATAATTTCCTTTAAAGCGTGCCCTTTCTGTGGAGTTTCACATTCTTATTAAAATGTTTCCGCTATAATCTGATCTGATTTTCTTACAGCACCCAGAGCCATTTCTTGACTTCACAAGCAACTTCCAGTAAGACCTGCAAACATACTGTACCTACCATCCATAAACCCCAGAAGCTTTCATCTAATTAAGCACTGAAGAACCTATTCAGTGTACCATTAACCACTATCCTCAGCCACAGGCTTTCCAATCTTACTTGTTTCACATGTGGATTTGCACTTATGTTGCTCTACCTCCTTAACTACAGATGCTCCCTTGCCTCAATCACAGAAAACACTACATTAAAAAAAAAAAAAATTCTCTGAACTCTTTATTTTTTCACACTCCTCCAGATGCACTTGAGTGGTGTTAATGAGCTCCATACCAAAACCTCACCACCTCTTCCTTGTGCTCCTGAGCACCACACATGGCTTCTGATCACAGGTAGAAAGGAATGAAATAGCCACCACCAGCACCTCCTTGCAACAGCAAGCTCAGATTCACACCTAACAATGAGCAGCCAGGCTAGCAAAGTGTTTTTCTCTTAGCAAGAAAACTCAGGAAGACCTTCATATTCATGTTAGTGATTCACTTTAGTGTCTTACAACAACCCAATATTAACATATTTTGACCCATCATATTCCAAGTTCTTCATCCCTCCCTCCCTACATCCACATCGCTTGGCATTTGATGCATGAAAAGGCACAGGAGGCCAAGTGCAGGACTTCCATGGCCCATCCAGAAGGGGACAGGCAGGGAGGCTTGTTTCCTATGGAACATGGAGAGAACGTGCAGCAAAGTGAGTAAGAAATGGAATACAGAAAGAGAAACACACACCAGAAGAGCTGCTATTTATTCAAGACCTGAAATAATTTTGTCCGAATGGAGAAGTTCCCCTGCTTTGTAACATTACCGTGGCTCATTTTAGCCAAATGAACAAAACCTCCAAAAAGCTCAGCCAAATGACAAGACATTAAAAACACACAGAGAAAAGGGGGGGAGGGAGAGGGGAATTTCCCCATTTTTTAGACATGCAATAAAAATGATATCCAATTTACTTTTTCTTTTCAAAACAAACCAGTTCCTGGCTTTATCTGGCACAATCTGATATGTTGGCTCTTATGGTATGAGCTGGACGCAGGAGATAAAATTGGGGGTGAGGGTGGCCAGTCACTTGCACAAGGCTCTGTAAGTAGCTGTCCCAGCCATTCACCACATAGACTGAGTCCTTGTGTCACTTAGGGCACGAAAGGCCACAAAGGCCTGCTCAGTGCTCCACACAGCCCAGAATTTGCAGAGATGGAAAGCAATTCAGCCTTTGTTTCACACTGCTAAATGAGAAAGCAAAGAATGAATCCTCCCAGTTTGCAAGGATTCTGGTATCTCTTTTTTTTTTTTTAGTATAACATCCTTATATTGGGAAATTTAAATCTCATAGCTATTGGAAGAGAAACCTGGAAAAAGCCATAGCGAACAGCGGATAATAAAATACTCAAGTTGGTTCACAACATCTTATTACTGTATAAATCAATTTAGTTATCATTTCAAATTTTATGTTTTTCAGAAAACACAAATCACACAGAGAGGTGTCAGCTTTACAGATATGAATAAAGAAGAAGAAAGCATTCTTTCATGAGCTAGCAGGCAACAAAACACTAAGAAAAAATCCCAACAACTGAAGCTACTGTTTAACAAATATTAAAAGTAATCTGATAGTGCCACTGGCTTGCTCCTGCATCTGTAAGAGAAAGAAAAAACTCCCAAAATCCTTATCAAAACTTTATCATCACAAAAAGCTGGCAAGAGCATACTACACCTTTAAACTTTGCAAATTCAATAAAATATCAAGTGGCAGTGGGAAGGAACTACAAGGTGATGCTCTAGCCAGGAGGAGGTGACAGGCTCTCACAGCAGCAGTCACTGCCAGCAGTGTCTCATTGCCTCGTGTTTCAATCCAGCAGGCATTTAAACCAAACTAAACCAAGTCCCTGACTTTTCTGCCAAACTTGGTCAGTGGAGTATCTCAGTTTAACTTTGCTGCAGGAAAACCAGTTACCAAACACTCAGCTCCAGAGTTTGTAACTGTGAATGAACAATGTGACATGTGACAGCCCTGATACCACTGTAACACTGCTTTTCTGGCAGGCAGACAGGTTGTTAAAGGATGTACTGCTGCACTCTGGCTGATTTTAATCCTGTGTTGTCTACTTGCACTCAATCTGGCAGAAAAGAACAGCAGAACAGCATCACAGATGCTGGAATAAGGCTGAGCTGGTAATGCAGAACTTTCACAATAAGACTAATTTAAGAGTTTTATCAGAATAATTGCTACAGCTTAGAAAAACCCATCAAAGCCTAAAATTGTAACCTGATTATTATGGCAGCTACATCACACCACAAGTATTTTGATTATTGATTATTTGGTAGCAGGAGTGCAAGGACTACTGCTGCGAACTACTGAGATCTCCTCAGTGAGGATACCCCCCCCAGGCCGTGAGGAAGTTCAAATAATTTGACTGTATTATGTTTTCAAACAACCCTAACACTACTGGGAGCATTTTCTATGGAGTGTATCAGCACTGTGAAACTTCTCCAAGTGCAGTTCTCATGATGCTGGATAAGGACCCCAAAGGGAGGCCTTTATCAACAGAGATAAAGCCCAGCCAATAATCCCCTGCTGTGCTCTGCAGTTATCACTTGACCTGGTCCCAGAAAGCACTTCCACTCTTAAACACTTTTGTTCCTTAAAATAAACATTAACAGAGTTTAAAGTGACAGAGTCTCACTATGTCAAAGAGACAAATAGTACCTGTCCCACCCATAACACTTTTAACTGATGGCTTAATTACTCTGCTATTCTTTTGTTTCTGTGGACCGGGAATGAGTCCATAGGAAAGGAGGCAGGAAGGCAGAGCTGGTGTCCCACATGTACACACTTGTACTGAGGTGAGACACCACCGAGGCACTTAAGGTTTTCCTCGGAAAAGTCAGGCCAGAACGCAGGGTGACTGATTTTTGCCATTCACTGTTTTAATGAAAAAAATTCATTTGGACTCTGATGACTTGGAATTCCGAAAGAACTAATAAAATGTACGGGGTCATACCAGATATCAGGGAAACTCAATGTAAGGACTACAGCAACAAACTTGGTCTGAAACATGTGAAAGTCGATTGCTAAGGACCAAAAACTGCATTAAATAGCTTTGTTAGATCACAAGTCAAAGAATTCAACTGCTTGTTGAAGTCAGCATCACAACTTTGTAGGAATGAACTAACCTGTCATCCAGCAAGAGAGACAAATCCCAAAATACACATACACACACCCCGACTGTCTGGGGCAGGAAGGGCCATATCCTCTTCCTAAGAGCATCCCTGGAAGCTGCTTCCTAGTCCCTAACCTCTTCATGGCTTCCCGAGCTCTGACAATGACTATATATTTTACATAAAAGAAGAATTTTCATTTTCCCTCTGAATGAACCAGAATTGACTCTGGTCAAATCAGCAGAAGATGCAGTATAAAATATTACTTCCTCTTGAAAAAGGCCTGAAACTATCATGTAGTAAATCACACTCCTCCTACAGGAGGGGACATCAAATGAAACTTGCTTAGTAATGAATGGACAATATGGTAATTCAGAAAACAAAATACAGGTGATTTTGCTAATCGGTGTTAATTAGCATCATGTGGCAAGACAGGGATTTTTCAATTCACGGCAATAACGAGCCATTGTCAGATAGTGTGAGACTAACGAGGAAAAGAAAAATCAATACAGTTGTAAATACACTCATGTATCTTTTTTTTTTTTCTCCAAAAGACCTGGCACAAGATAGCCAGCCTGATGACTTTTGCAGGAAAAGCTTTCTTTGTCTTGTGAAATTTCTCCCCAATCACCCTGAAATAGACTTTTCTGAGCAACCATTCCACAAACAGCTGGGTGCCTTTGCTTAGGTGGTAAGAAAAGAAGGCAAGCATTAAGGCTAAAAACAAAACAGCTGAACATTACCATTGTCTGTCCTCTTCTCTCCTTATTTCCCATCTGTATTTGCCAGTGAAACTTGAAACTATTCAGATTAAAAAAGGAGAGTAATCACAATTCAGGAATTCTTTCTTCTCACATTCAGAGGAAAAATAACCTTAGACCTAAGGCAATTCAAAAGCAGACTGTTTTTTAAAGTAAGTACTCATCAACTGCATTAAGCACCTTTTGAGTCTGTTAGACCTTTTTCTTATTTTTCCTGGCCTTTTCATCCAATGATTGTTCCTATGGCTTTCAATTAGAGTGCTACGTCAACAGCTCCACTCATCTAAAACAATCATTTTGCTGAAAAGGAGCATTATTGAACTGAAAGCGAGTGCTCAAGACCTCTCAAACACAGACATATCACATGCACAAAACAGTACCATCCTGTATCAACTCAGCAGCCCCATCAGATACAATATTTGCATACACTGTCTTGAAAGGGAAATACATCATTTCTGTAAGAAAATTGTTCCCAATGCCTTCATCCTCTGAAAGAGAAATAAGAGTGTTTTCCTTGTTTGTGTTTGTTCTGTTTATTTATTTCCTCAATAACGACAACACAATACGAAATGACCAAAATAGCTAAGGAACAGGAGCTGATCTTACTTGGCCAGAAGGAGCTGTCGTCTTTGCTCAGAAACTTTTTCTTGAGGCGCCCGGGCAGCGTGGGGTGAGCGTTGCCCATTTTGCTGGAATACAGCGGGATGAGTTCCTCCTCCTCCTCCTCATGGCTGCAGCTGGGCTGCCACTTGCTCCTGCCGAGGCACCCGACCATGGGCTCGGCGGGCAGGCAGTGCACATAGGCGATCATTGTGAGATGCGGCTCTCAAGGATGTCCCCGCTGTCCCCAATGGCCAGCTCCGAGCAGAAGGGAGTGGCCTGCTTATAACCCTTGAGCGCACGCATTCAAAAGGCTGTGGAAGAAAAGATTTTCTCCTCCTTCTCGCTTAGGCAAGCTAAGCTACTTGGATATCCCGAAAACTGGAATAGGATTCCAAAGTCCTTGAAAAAGCAGGAAAACAACGACAAAAAACCAAGCACCTGGTTAAGCAGGTACTGGGTGCCCTGCTCCTGCCCTCCTCCCGCCCGCGGCTCCCAGCCACGAGCAGGCAAACAGAAACAGGGCTGGGAAACCCGGTCACCTGCCGCAGACCTTGGCCTATTCCCTTTCTGCTTCTTCTCCGGCCTGTGCCTTCTCTTAATCCTTATCCCCGATTATTCACCACTCTCTTAACAACAGGTACTACAGCCACACACAGATGGCCCCATCCAAGAAGCTTATTTAAAGCTAAGTATTGCTGTGACACTGGCAGCTACAGAACCTGCCAAGAGCAAGAACTTATACCTTCTTCTAGAATGCAAAAGCAGCAAAAAAACATACAGACTAAAGAAAAAATAGCAAAGTGTCATGATTTCAGTATTTGGATTTTATTAAAGCAGCTCCCCTTCAAAGTTAGAACCATAACGATTGATACCAAAAGAAGACAGCATCTTCCAGGTTAGACTACAACTGGATTGATGCTGAACACAAAGCATAAGCAGTTATCATCAGCTTGCCAGCAGTACTGCATAAATATATACATCCTTACAATGCTCTAGAGGGTATATTATTCTTATTTAAAAATGAAGACATAGTCTCAAAGGGATTTAGTAATCTGCCCACAGAGTGGAAAAGCCAGGATTAAAGTCGAGGTATTCTCAGTTCTTTAGCCTCATCCACAAGTCACTAGACCATGGCACCTCTCCCAAATACTGCACTACTAAGAGAGTTTCCATGCTGCTAACAGTGTCAACCCTAATCTCCCATACTGTTCTTCTCTGGGATTCAGGAAGCGTGCCCTTCCTAGGCTTTTAAATTGGCTGTGACAGCACAGTGAGATTGGGACAGCAAGGAAAATATCACATGAAGAGAGCACTCTGCATGAACCCCTGTCTTGAGCATTTTTAAAAGTTCTATGTTGTTTGAAAGATTACAATGGAGAATATTTGTTTTAAAAATGGGAAGATGTCAAAACCCTGAATAAAGCATAACAAAGAGCAATTCTTAGTCTGCTTTCTTAACTGCTCTTCGTAAATGCTTTGGTTGCAGCCCATGGAAGCGGCTGCTCTATATATAGGAGCACAGCAGCAAATATAAGTATTGACACATATTTTAAAAGTCTTTGTGTGCTGTTTGGTTGAGAGCTACAATAAACTTTTGGCCAGGAAGAAAACACAAACCAAGCCCACTGTTTAACACCACCACCACAGATGCACATCTCCTCTTTTGCCCCTGGCACAGGCACGAATCTCCGGCTGCCTCGGCGCAGGCAGGCGCAGCCTGGGAGCAGGGCGCACACAGCAGCTGCCCACGGGCACTGCAGCAGCCTCCAGACACACACACAACACAGAGACACCAGCATCCAGCACAAACTGCCGGCAACGCTGACTCAACACTGCTGGCAAAGCGTAGAAAGGTTATGAAAAACTGGCTGGTTTGGCGGGGGCAGGTTGTTTGTTTGGGTGTTTCCGTTTAACGTCCTGTTACTTTGCACAGCAGTCTGAGCAAATACTTTTCACTATAAAGCCTTTCATACACATCTCACGTGACTGAATCTCAGCAAACTTGCAAACAGATCTTATAACGAACTGTGCCAAATACCTTTAATAAAGAGGGATTAAACAATCCCTGACTGCAGTTTTACATTTTTTGACAACAATTTCGAGTATCTGCAAAAATATGGATGGAAAGAGGAAAATGTGCCAACAGCAAGAGCAATAGCTGTTGGTGCCACTGGCTTGTCTGTATAGATAGCAGAAACTCACTGGCAAACACTGAACACTGGCAAACAGGCCTTTGAGGCAAATACAAATTTACAAAGTCAAGTACATTTACTCATCAGACTATGAGAAAGACAAACTGTGATTAACATTAGGAGAGCTCAATTCACTCATCAACCACACTGATACTCCTGTGTCTGCCAGAATAAATGAATGTCTAGACAGTCCTCCTGAGTGGAATGAAACCCCAAGAGCGCTATGTGAACCAGCTCATAAGGAGGCCCTGTCACCACCTCCCTAATGGGACAGAACCTCTGCAGGTACCAGCTTGTCTAGCCACCATCCCTGCTGTCTCACCATTCCAATTCCATGTGATTATCAGGGCCCTGGGAAGAGTCACTGCCAGAGATGTGATGCACAAAACTTCACAGCATCACCAGTGATTTTCTGATAAAAGTGTATACTGGAATTTGCATTTATTTGTCCTGCAGAGAGGAACATATCTTTTATTACGTAAGAATGCAGGTGGATTTCAGTTGTGTTTGTTTTTTATTTTAACAACCCCAAATCACACTATGAAATTACATTTTCTAAAGGATACTGGCTGATGTTTGCATGCAGTCTTTCTATCTCTATACAATCATGTTATCTGACATAAAATTTCAGTGTCAATCTACACACCAAGCCAGTATTATTAGGTAATAGGCAGTACAAACACAGGAGCAAGAAGACAGGGGACACCAACAATTCAGCAGTTCAGCAGACTCCCATGCTCCCAAATACTTATCAAAATGACACAGGATAACATATTGCCCTGGAGTCCCCATGACATTTACCATGCACTTCTCTGGAGTACAGACGTACTCAATTATCCATGTTTCCAATGCATGCTCACGAAGTAAGGCTGATGCACAATAATGGGATCATGGCTGAAATCCAGTTTAACAAGTATATTTACCATATGGTAGGCATTAATGTCCCCACAAGTTTTTTACTTGAAGAATAAATCTGTTCTTCCCTGAAGCCTGGAAGACCTTGGTAAAATAAATTATAAAAGATTTGGTGATAGTCTTGGATATTAGCAAATGTAAAACCATGAATAGCTGCCAAGATGTACCATTATCATGTGAGAAAGACACTGCTACCCTGCTTCTTCATCTCCCTCCAAAAATCCTACAAAATAACCCAATTTCTTTATGCTATATCTATATGGAGCAAGAACCTCTCTAAGTTTGATAAAGTCAAAATTTTATCACAAAACTTTTGATTAATCTTCACTTATTCTACTGAAGCTGTAGCGCAGCTTTATTTTTTCAAATACACAAAAGTGAAGCTGTTCATCTTTCTCAGCTTTGAGCTATCATTTATATAAAATTTCCCAAAAGCAGTATTTTATTTCCTTTATTATTCTTTTTCATGCCTTTTAAAAACAGAACTATTAGTAATGCTAGTATGAATGCTCTGAGCAGGCTGTTACACATGTTTATTAATCTTTACCAGCATTATTTGATTTTTGCTAAACCAGCTCCTTACACTCAGGCTCTATTAGAGAGAGCTTGAATAATTAGGAATAATTACAAAAAATGCAATCAATATCACATTATATTGGAAATGTTTGGTTAAACAAAAAAGATCATTAAGAGTTACACTCACAAAACTGTGACTAACTCAGGGATTACAAGAAACAAAATTATAAAGAAAAAGCAACCAAAGAAAATATTACCCCTTTTATTTGACAAGCATATATGGTCCTGAGCTCTGAGAACAGCAATGATACTGATGAATATTAGACGTTGGAGTTTTAAAAATATATAGGATACATCTATTGGGAACTCAGGGCATATAGAATCACAAAGGGTATTGTCATGTCAGCCCTACTCTGGCATTAAGATAATCTTTATAAATATGCTACATAAGGAATAACCAGTCTTTATGTACGATTCGTAGATCCTCTGGATAGAAGGAAATATGCACCGTGTCATGAAGTAACAGCACTTTTATGGGCACCTTGCACAACAAAATCATCAAATTAAGTAATTCCCAGCAGCCAAACTGGAAATTAAAGATAGCCCATAGAAATCCACAGGGATAAACTTTGCCCTAATTAGACATGGATTCTATTTTTAGCAGTGATGAATTGATGTGCTCTGGGATTTTTAGATGAGCAACTGGAGCTTTTAAATTGTACTTATATAGTTATTTTTAAAACAAACGGGGAAAAATTCTATATTAAACATATTTCATTGGACCATATAGCATTAACTAAGCCATAAAACAAAACTCTCAGAGAGAAGTATCCTCCTTTTACAGATGGACAACTCAAGACACAGCAAGAATCAGGATATGTCCATCATGGTGGAGCACCCCAGCATTCTTTGCAACTGGAAATGGCCACACTGGACATGGGATGTCCTGCTCTCCTGTGCATGTACTTTCCTCTTTCCTGTACACATAATGTGTGTGGAGTCTTAACTCATATTCCTTAAACACAAATACAGCAGACAAAAGCTAAAGAATTTCAAAACAAAGAGGAAAAAAAACCCACCTTGGGGTATTGTAAATCTGCTTTTTAACGGAATATGAATCTCTCAAACAGGAAGCAAGCAGAAGGTATCAGCTTTACAGTGTTTAAAGCAAGCCCAGCATTCGAGGAGCTTCTACAATACCAACAGACAACAGGGTGCAAGGGAAATTAAAGGGACCCAAGGTGGTAGAGGTGCACACAAAGCTTTGTGATGTTCCAAGAAGCTCTGTCCATTTGGCCACACTCAGCATTAGCTCTCCAGCATTAGCTCTGCCCCCTACTACTTTCATGGATGTATTTTTATCAGTATGCTTATGATCATGCAGCATCTATGAGATTTTTTTTTTTTTTTTTAAGGATGTAAGTAGTAGGTCATGTGCAGCTTAAAGAGCTTGACTGGCATAGCAGCTAAAAGCAGTCCTAACAAGCAAATATGCTTTGTAAAAACCTATGGCAAATGTCACTGGCAACTGTGTACCCAGCAAACTGGAGGCAAATCCCTAAATGATGGGTCATTTGGCTAGCTTAATTCCTGGTACCTACATAGCCAGATTCAAGGTGCATCCCTAGGCAACCTCAGCCCTCTGCAAGGACACCAAATCTGCAAATCATTGTATAGCGGGCACCTGTAAAGCACAACAAAAACCAACAACAATAAAACCAAATATAATGTTCAAGGATCATTAGGAAACTGCATGCCTGTATTTCCTCTGCTGCACCAATTCTGAACATGCCCATTACCATCTCTTTCATATCTTAATTTAATTTTTCCTTTGCTGTTATGTAATAACCCTCTGCAATTACTTTTAATTCAATAAGTATTTTGATATACAGCACATAAGACACTAAACGAGAAAAACATACTTTGTATTGCATTATTGGCAGTCTTAAAATATTTTAAAATACACTTCTGTGTTCTAATTATTCATCTGTATTTTCAATTAGAAAGCCTTCTTAAGAGCAACAAGCAATACTGTATGTTTGATATTAACTCTTGATCACTGTTTTGCAGTATTTAAACGAGAAAGCAATTAAAGCCAGCTGTATAAGCAGCAGGTATCTCAGAAAAGCCTTCCTGTGCCTTTCTGGTTTAGTTCTGCTGCCATACAAAAAGAAAGGCGAAGTCCTTTGGTCAGTGCATGCTGTGAACTGGACCACCTTTGGGAAGGGGATGACACATGTTCGGGACAGAGGATAGGGCTGTTAGTAAAACAGGAGCAGTTAGATACTACTACTGATAGTTGAAACAAGCTATTCTTACTGCCTTGCTCTAGCAGTTGAGTCCCAAAAAACTCTGATCTGTGAAAACACAGAACAAAAGATGATGCTGCCAGAAGCAGGAGGAGAAGGTGGTTTCCAGTCTGGGGCCACAATGGACGGCAGTATCAGCAACGCTGGTACACCCACACACTCTGTGAGCAAAGGAGTCACATTCTACCAGCTTGTTTTACAGTTCATATTAAATGGCAATGCAGACAGGGTTGGGTAGGATTACTCGGTTCAGGTCTGCTCATTAAACTTATTACCATGGTAACAGGAAGAGAAAGAAGTCATCTCCCCACTCCTATTATCTTGCACAATTCTTTTTAGTGGATTTAAAAGCCCAAAGAGGGAAGCACCTTCCTGATACAGAGAACCAGTGACCTCTCTGCCACCCGCACAGCTCACTGGAAGAGTTCACACACAGTGGGGTTTTCAAATCAAAAACCAAAGCAATATACACTACTTCATAAAAGCCACGGATAGAAAACAGCCTTCAGTCAGAAGGCTGCAGCCTCCTCACCCTCCTCCTACTGGAGGAAATGGTCTGACGACGCTGCCTTCTGTTCACGTACACCATCACTGCTGTCAAAAACGCAGTGCCACCTCCTGGACATGACGTTCCCAGGAAGGTCTGCTTTGGCCAGGTGCGCCATGCAGAGTCAGGAAGGCTTTCAAGATTAA